AATTATGTTTATAACCACTCTGATCTGATGAATTATGTTTATAACCACTTTGATCTGATGAATTAGTGTGTTTATAACCAGTTCTGATCTGATGAATTGTGTTTATAACCACTCTGATCTGATGAATTATGTTTATAACCACTCTGATCTGATGAATTATGTTTATAACCACTCTGATCTGATGAATTGTGTTTATAACCACTCTGATCTGATGATTCTCTGTGTCCCAGGGGAACGATGAAGAGGCGGTTTTGGACCAGGGGAAGACCAGCTCCACGCTCCACACAAACTTTGAGAAAGAGGAACTGGAGAGTGAGTTTTTACATAAACCAGCCCGGGCAAAGAAGCTGCTGTTTGTTTACAACCAAACACAAAGTAACAGTTCTGAGCCGACCCGTATTTCTCTGTGGCAGCTCACAGTTTGTACTGAAAACAAATTCAACACAAAGCAGAGGAGCTCAGGAAATGATGCTGGTTCTTATAAACTAATGATTCTGGAGTTTTTCAGTGGGTGACATGTCAGTTTGTTACCATCAGGCCACCGAGCTGTTTACGTCGGTGTCCATGTCCCTTTGGGCCGAGAGAGTCGAAGGCGGCACCGGCACAGAGGACACCGACATCACCGGAAACGAAAGGACCGCTCAGATAGAGAGGACGGGCGAGAGTCCCCCTCATATGGTGAGGATTTCCTGGTTGATGTGGCACAGAGCGACGCAGTGACAGACAGATGAAGAGCTTGTTGTTGTGTCTGCAGACACGCCGTCTCAGAGGGTCCAGTTCATCCTGGGAACAGAGGACGATGATGAGGAGCACATTCCCCACGACCTGTTTACTGAGCTGGACGAGCTGGCCTTCAGGGACGGAGACGTCCAGGAGTGGAAGGAGACGGCCAGGTGAAACCTTTTCTGTTTTTTCACAAATGTTTCAAACATGCACAGGTGGAGCCAACGACTGATCCGGTTTACAACTGCCTGATCAGGTTTTAAACCCTCCTGATCCAGTTTAAAACCTCCTGAACCAGTTTAAAACCTCCTGAACCAGTTTAAAACCTCCTGAACCAGTTTAAAAACCTCCTGATCCAGTTTAAAAACCTCCTGATCCAGTTTAAAAACATCCTGATCCAGTTTAAAACCTCCTGATCCAGTTTAAAAACATCCTGATCCAGTTTAAAACCTCCTGAACCAGTTTAAAAACATCCTGATCCAGTTTAAAACCTCCTGAACCAGTTTAAAACCTCCTGAACCAGTTTAAAAACCTCCTGATCCAGTTTAAAACCTCCTGATCCAGTTTAAAAACATCCTGATCCAGTTTAAAACATCCTGAACCAGTTTAAAACCTCCTGAACCAGTTTAAAACCTCCTGATCCAGTTTAAAACCTCCTGATCCAGTTTAAAAACCTCCTGATCCAGTTTAAAACCCTCTTGATCCAGTTTAAAACCCTCTTGATCCAGTTTAAACCATCCTGATCCAGTTTAAAACCTCCTGATCCAGTTTAAAACCTCCTGATCCAGTTTAAAACCTCCTGATCCAGTTTAAAACCTCCTGATCCAGTTTAA